CAGCAACAGGAACAGCAGCAGCAGCAGCAACAACAGCAGCAACAGGAACAGCAGCAGCAGCAGCAGCAACAACAGGAACAACAACAGCAGCAACAACAACATAAGTAGCAACAGCAGCAACAGTAACAACAACAGCAGCAACAACAGCAACAACAACAGCAGCAACAACAGTAACAACAGCAGCAACAATAACAGCAGCAACAACAGTAACAACAGCAGTAGCAACAACAACAGAAGTAGCAACAGCAGCAACAGCAACAACAACAGTAACAACAACATGTAGTTTTTCTCGGACCCTCGTCTAAACCACTTCATTGTGATCTTGGTATTCTCAATAAAGATTGGCATTATTAGTGAAACAATTAAAAAAACAACATGAAGTCCAACATCAACAAGAACAAAAAGAAAGACACAAACATCAGCTAGCGCTTCTACCTTTTCTTTCTGTAGGTCCTCGACTTGTGCCTTCATTGCTTCTAACTCCTGTGTGACAGCCGTCTAGACGGGACAAGAATAAACAAATGGATTAGTAAACAGGAAAAGAAGAAAAGAAAAAGAGAAAAATCTTGATAGGAATGAAAGGAGTAAAAAACGAAGGGGTGAAGAGATGGTGGGAAAAATGTGAAATGGTCCAAGCCGTCGTTCAATACTGTACTAGTTACATTGTTTAGAATAGATAGAAAGCGTTTCAAACAGGGTTCGTGCTGAGGTAACCACTTAAAATTCGAGGACTATTCAAGGAGTATACAAGGACCCAAAAAGGAATTTTCAAGGAGTATGTTCAGCTAACTATGCCAAGGTTTTACACGGTGGTTGCACATGGCCGACTTTTAGATTTTCCATTCTTTCTGACTAGATCTATTTCAGAAGCATGCAAGTAATGATCAAAGCAAAAATTCAAGGAGTTTTCAAGGAGTTTCGCTAAAATCGTAAAATTCAAGAGCTCTTCAAGTGCACTTGAAAACGTGAGTCAAATTCAAGGAGTTTTCAAGGAGTTTAGGAGTAGCACGAACCCTGTTCAAAAAACAAAAAAAAATCCTAAAAAAAACAAGAGAGAGAGAGAAAATGGAAGGAAGCAAGGATGAAAAGAAGAAAGAAAAGAAGAAAAAATGGGTGGTTGGGTGGAGAAAAGGAAAGAATGGATAAAGCAAACAAAATAAGCAGGATAGATGAATGGAAAAAATGGGAAAACTAAAAGTAGAAAGCAAGGAAAAGGACTAGCTTTTTGTTAATGATTACTAAAGATATATGATATATATATTTGAAGGGATAAAAGGAAGGCCAATAATAACGCCCATGTATTCTGGTACCTTTTCTTCTAAAGCCCCCATTCTTTCTTTCAAGTGAGCCTGCAGTCTCTCGTTTGACTCAGTCAGCAGCTTGTCTATGGTTGCAGATAGTCTCGTGTTGTGGTCTTCATTCATCTTTTCTCGTTCTCTAGCCTGATAACGACATTGAGTAGATTTAGTGAATCAGATAACTAGATATAATGATGCAGACGATGACCATTAAATAGTCAAGAGTATGTTGACAATGGTTATGATGATGATGATGGTGATGATGTATGATGATGGTGATGATGATGGTGGTGGTGATGATGATGATGATGTTGGTGATGATGATGGTGATGATAATGGCAATGTTGATGATCATGGTAATACATGATGACGGTGGTGATGATGATGGTAATGGTGATGATGATGATGGTGATGATGATGGTAATGGTGATGATGATGATGGTGATGATGATGGTGGTGACAATTACAGTGATGTTGCTAACAATGATGGTGGTGATGACAAAGATGATGATTAAATGATGCAGGTGATATTGATGGTGATGGATGTTGATAATACTGTTTCGTTCTTACCATTCTTCATACTTACTCGTTTCAGTTCTGCCTGTAATTCCTCTACCTGTGTTTTAAATTTTGTTACTTGTTCTTCTGCACTACCTTGCTTCTCAGCAGCCTGAAATAACAAAATAATACTTAAAAACCAAGATCACAAACAACTACAGTAATCACAAGGCAAATAAAAAGAGGAGAGAGATGAGGAAGAGAGAAGAAAAATCTATTGTTATGACAGTTTGCTTTTGGAAACAACAAACCGGAGAACCTGTAGAAAAATCCTTGGAGCACAGGAGAGAAACGACAAACAACTCTACTCGCATACGACATCGAGATCGGCAGGACTCGAACTTGGGCCGCATTGGTGAGAGGCGGCGCATTAGCAGCGCACGCCACCGGTGCTTCCCGGTATGAGAGGAGGGGAGAAAAATGAGAAGGAATGGAATGTAAGAAGAAGGAAAATGAGAATTAAGGTTTACTAAATTGAGTGCAAATACTAAATCCTCGAAAAAATCATTGAACAATGGTGAGGTTTTTTAAGAAAATATTATAGATACCTTGTTGAGGGCTGCCATTCTTTCAGCTAGCTCTTCTTCTATCTTCGGCAGGGCTTCTGCTTTTCGATGTAATTGGTTTAAGTTTTGTTCAGACAGTTCTAATCTCTCTTGGTAGGATCGCTGCTTCTCTTCGGCCTGTGAGAAAGGGAAGCAAAGAAAGCTTAAATAAAACAATGAAATTTCAAATGGAAAGTAGAGCATAAGAAGATAGATGACAAATGTGATCCTCAGGGACCTCACACACTTGTTTGAAGGAGCAAGTGTGGCTTGGTTGGTTAGTATGCTGCCTGCTAAGCAAGAGGTCCATAGTTTGATCCTCAGTGACCTCACACACTTGTTTCAAGGAGCAAGTGTGGATTGGTTGGTTAGTGTACTGCCTGCTAAGCAAGAGGTCCATAGTTTGATCCTCAGTGAC